ACCACAAAACAACTATTTTTACAAACAGTTACAATTGCTTAAAGTATAGTTATACAAATTGTACTTTGGTCAAGTGTCTCATATTAAACGTCGTGTAGTCATTGGTAATTAATTCGTTACTATAAAAAGTTTTCCCTTCCTACGACATTGCAAAAACTGATTTATTTTCTCAACGCATGATTTAATTATTATATAGTTAGTAAAAATCATCACGAACATTACAACTTATGCATTTTATGCGCTGATGAAAACCCACACGTGCATAATAAGATAATTATTATTCACGGTAATAAAATTTACGACACCTACTAATGCGTTACGGAATCATAAATTGAATGGTACTATTCGATTCGTTTTGCCATTCTTTCGTAGGAAGACGACGACAAACCTCACGTTTAGTTAATTAGGATCAAGGCTAAATTAATCCAGATTTTTGAATTTAACGTCGAGTTTGTTAATAAATCACCAACCATGAACCCACAATGGGAGTTGTTATTTAGTGGTTTCCTCGGCACTAAAAAGAAATACAGGCATTTTTTCGTCGATTAAAATGTATTTTTCGTGTTCACAACTCTTTTGCCTTTTTAGATGGCTACGCATCTCAGCGTAAATGAGCGGATGAGGTTTAGCGGGAAACATCAAGATATTATTGTTGCTCGATGGTGCTGCAAATCCCACATGCTTCCTACGTCCATGTTTTCAACGATATCATGCCCAAATTTGAGTTAGCATACGAACGAGAAAATACGTCCCACTGGTTTAATATTTGGGACACGCAGATTTTCTTAATATCTACCGGCCCGAGTTGTTTTTAATTTACAAATGTACGGGTGAGTTGTTTATAAACATTATATACGCGAGGTCAAACACATTAAACAAGTCCCAACAGGTTGAATCCAGTGTTTCGGAGAACATGAATCAAACCACATGAATTTCAACGAATGGATAAAATGCAGAGAAAGAATACCGATGAAAATTTTGTTGTATTAACGCTTGCGTTGTAAATTCATTTACTGAAAGTTTGTAATAATTGTACTAGTGGGTGAATATTTTAACGTGCATCTCATCATCAGTGATTAATTGAATAAAAATTTGAGCGCGAAGGTGATCATAATTTATAATAATTAATAATGATTCTATTTTTGTATAAAAATATAAAACTCTTACAATTCATTAATTAGTCATGCTGTAGTCATAAACGTGTTTGTATTAAATTATTTAATTTATATTACGCACAATGCAAAATGTGAACTCTGTGCATGAACGCCCTCGCTGCAATCACATTTTTCCAAGTTTTTTTTAAATAATTTATCTTTAATTTTATATTTAAAATGTTAATGATTTACTGTTGTGTATTTTGGTGAGCAAATTACACTCATAAAACTTTTTAATTATATAAATACAGGGTTAGTCACGAGAGAATTACTTCTGAAAATTATTTTTACGCAACCCAAAATACGAATGCCATGTACCATTTGATACTAACTGAATTTAAAATGAAATGATTGCTTTGAGCTTGACAATCTCATTTTGACAATTGTGGAAAAGGAGGTTACGCGAGTGTCCATGGTGGTACCGCAGCCAGTCGGAAATCTCCTCCGGCGCCGCTAATAAATTTGTCAGTGTGCCTCTTGATCTTTTGCAACCGATTAATCACGAGAAAATTATTTCTAAAAATTCCTTTTACGGCATTTTATTCAAAGGTTACAACACAAACTCAAACAAGTAAGTAAATAATTTAACTACTAATCTGTTGAAAATGTTGGGCATTTTGGGGGGATGCTACGGCTTTTTTGTAAATGGATGGCCGAAGAAGTCCAGAGGTTGTAGATTTGCACTTCGAAGAGGCTCTAGGTGACGCAGAGATGGCGAATTAACACAGGCACATTAGCGGCGAACAACATTGGTAGAGCACTTACGGCTTCAGTGTAGCCCAGATTGATCTGACTGTATGTCGTCGATCCAATGGGGCTCTAGAGGCGAGTCAACGATGAAACAAAATGTTAAAAATTAATTAACGTCAAAGTGACACTGCCAAAGTCAAAGCAATCATGGATTAGGCATTTCATTTTAAATTTAGATAATATCAAGTGGTACAGGGTATTAGTATTTTGGGTTGCGTAAAAATAATTTTCAGAAGTAATTCTCTCGTGACTAACCCTGTATTTGATTTCACATTTTTTCGATGTTGCATGGGTAGCAGAATACAAAAAAGCAGGTTAATTTTTTTATCTGTCGTCTGTTTGTCTGTGTGAGACAGATAATTTTTCGAACTACTAAACCGAATACTTTGAAATTTTAGTCGTACTCTAAAATTATCGGGACGACAGTAAATGGCTAACCAAAATTTGCTTACTCATCCCTTTCATAAAATTAATGACATAATTTCAAAATTTTGCTAAGCTTGGTTACCTGTTGTTTGTACCATTAAAAAATGCATTTATGGAATATAAATTGTATAATTGATATAAAAAACTACATAACGGATTTATTTAAAATTTGGAAAATCAGTGCCACTGATTTAATTAATGATCACAATACAATGATTAAATTTTATTTATTCAATTCGGTCAGAAAAATGATGGCGTTATATCAAAAAAAAAGGTAGAGGGAATAAATATCCACCAAACATTCCTGTTAGTAGAAGTCTCTGAATTTAGAAAATTGCTTCCCTCAGATATTTTGTAAACCCGTTTTTGTTTTATACATTATGAGATGACGGTTGTTTTAACTTATTTAAAATTTGTTCATCTTAGCTTTTTATTTAGTTAACTAGATGTAATTTCTTTAGCACGTTATCCACAGTATAATTTGAAAAAAATACAGTTTCGTTTTTGATAAAATTTGGAAGAATTTTATTTAGGGGCTTTTGGTATCTTTTTTTTAATGTAGAAACATTTTGGCGTTGTTTTTGAAATCATTTTAAACAAGTCTAGGAACCCCTCGTGTTTTGTTTCTGATAATATTTGAAAGAATTCTACTTAGGGACCCCTGGCGTCGGTTTTTTAAGAATGTAGATGAATCTTGGCATTATGTTTTGAAAGAATTTTAAAATCATTTTGCGTCCCTTCTGTGTTTTTTTTAATGTAGAAAAATTTCGGAAGGGCCAAGTGCCTTTTTTTCAACAATGTGAAAGAATCTTAGAATTCCGTTGGATCTTATTTTGAAGAATGAAAGAATGTGAAAGAATCTTGGGAGTCTCTGATGTTTTATTTTCTTAAAAAAATTTAGCAAAATTTGAGGGGCCCCTCGTGTTTTGTTTTTGATAAAATTTGAAAGAATTATACTTGCGTCTGCGTTTTAAGAATGTAGAAGAATTCGGGCGTTATGTTTTGAAAGAATTTTAAACACATTTTGGACACCCTTTTGTGTTTTTTTTTAATGTAGAAAAATTTCGGAAGGCCCAAGTGTCTTTTTTTTCAATAATTTGAAAGAATCTTAGGATCCCATTGGATCTTCTTTTAAAGAATGAAAAAATCTGAGGGACCGCTCGTGTTTTGTTTTTGATAGAATTTGATAGAATTTTACTTAGGGACCTCTGGCGTCCATTTTTTAAGAATGTAGAAGAATCTTGGCGTTATGTTTTGAAAGAATTTTAAACACATTTTGGAATCCCTCCTGTGTTTTTTTTAATGTAGAAAAATTTCGGAGGGGACAAGTGTCTTTTTTTTTCAAGAATGTGAAAGAATTTTAGAATCCCTTTGGATCTTATTTTAAAGAATGAAAGAATGTGAAAGAATCTTGGGATTCTCTGATGTTTTATTTTCTTAAAGAATTCGAACAAAATCTGAGGGATCGCTAGTGTTTTGTTTTTGATAGAATTTGATAGAATTTTACTTAGGGACCTTTGGCGTCCATTTTTTAATAATGTAGAAGAATCTTGGCGTTATGTTTTGAAAGAATTTTGAACACATTTTGGAGTCCCTTTTGTGTTTTTTTTAATGTAGAAAAATTTCGGAAGGGCCAAGTGTCTTTTTTTTAAGAATGTCAAAGAATCTTAGAATCCTGTTGGATCTTATTTTGAAGAATGAAAGAATGTGAAAGAATCTTGGGAGTCTCTGATGTTTTATTTTCTTAAAAAAATTGAACAAAATTTGAGGGGCCCCTCGTGTTTTGTTTTTGATAGAATTTGAAAGAATTCTACTTAGGGTCCCCTTGCGTCTGCTTTTTAAGAATGTAGAAGAATTCTGGCGTTATGTTTTGAAATAATTTTAAACACATTTTGGACTCCCTTCTGTGTTTTTTTTAATGTAGAAAAATTGCGGAAGGCCCAAGTGACTTTTTTTTTCAATAATATGAAAGAATCTTAGAATCCCATTGGATCTTCTTTTAAAGAATGAAAGAATGTGAAAGAATCTTGGGATTCTCTGATGTTTTATTTTCTTAAAGTATTTGAACAAAATCTGAAGAACCCCTCGTGTTTTGTTTCTGATAATATTTGAAAGAATTCTACTTAGGGACCCCTGGCGTCGGTTTTTTAAGAATGTAGAAGAATCTTGGCATTATGTTTTGAAAGAATTTTAAAATCATTTTGGAGTCCCTTCTGTGTTTTTTTTTAATGTAGAAAAATTTCGGAAGGGCCAAGTGTCTTTTTTTTTAAGAATGTCAAAGAATCTTAGAATCCCGTTGGATCTTATTTTGAAGAATGAAAGAATGTGAAAGAATCTTGGGATTCTCTGATGTTTTATTTTCTTAAAGAATTTGAACAAAATCTGAGGAACCCCTCGTGTTTTGTTTTTGATAGAATTTGAAAGAATTCGACTTAGGGACCTCTGGGGTCTATTTTTTAAGAATGTAGAAGAATCTTGGCGTTATGTTTTGAAAGAATTTTAAACACATTTTGGAGTCCCTTCTGTGTTGTTTTAATGTAGAAAAATTTCGGAAGGGCCAAGTGTCTTTGTTTTCAAGAATGTGAAAGAATTTAGAATCCCATTGGATCTTATTTTGAGGAATGAAAAAATGTGAAAGAATCTCGGGATAAAATACAGTGGCGGCAAAAATGTGTTTTATATTTATAGCGATTTATTAGAAAATTTTCTATTTACAATCCTGGCGTAAGAATTGTTCTTGGCGGGTATGCTTTTTGTCAGTACTTGTTGCTGAATGTGTTGCCTCTTCTGCCTCGTTCACATAAAGATCGGTGCATTTTTGTGTATCCAGATTGCTAATCAAGAAATAACCCAATGTATCATCTAGCTGTGGTTTTTTCAGGAGTAATCTGATATTTTGAAAATTTTCTTTGAAGGAAAGGGGGAATAGGGATGGAGGCGTATTAATCTTCATTATGACACCAAACCTCTTTCAAATTTTGCGTTGAGGAGTCTGTAAACAGTCACTAGAGTTCTTTGCTTTGTAAGTTACAAAAGAGAAGTTCATACTCGTCCTACTATTTTGCAAACCAATTCTTTTCACAGTAGAGGCACTATAAAGATGTAATTTTCATATCATATAATCTATCGTGGTCATCTGATTTCCGAAAAGTTTAATTAGATTGTCGAAATTTCTTTACTTAATACTAACCGAAGATGACGAGTAAGGGGAGATTTCCACCAAAATTTAGTATCACTACGAAGCAGACACAGTCAAAAAACTAGATGTCATTTATAGGAAAAAATGACATTTCAAGAATTTTGCAGAGTAACCATGGAAATGAGACGGAAATATGATAATTTACAGTTTCTCCAGGAATCTCAAACGAATTCTTTAAAATTTTTAGCAATTTAATGATGACAGAATAATAATTAATTAAAGCTAATGAAACCAAAAAATTAAATTCATAAAATCATATTTTATGTAAAAAAAAACCTAAAATTGGTTGAGTTTGACAGTAAATCTGTTTAGCTTGAATTACGTTAAGTGAAACTTACAAACGTTTTTTATTTGTATATTTCGTACTGTTGTGCGAAGTGTATTTTGAAGAAGTGGTCCAAGACCTTGATCAGCGAGTAAATTAGTCATTTAATGAAATTACTTAAATACCTACCGCACTTTTTTAAATCACGATATTTTAATAATCCACCTTAATAAACCAGATATTCAAAGAATGTCAATGTGAATCGGAAATCTTATTTACCTTTTGTATAATCAAGCAAGACGCACCTTGTTAACAAAACCCTACAAAGGCAGGAAATAGCATTAAAACCATGCCGCTATAGATTTATCGTATACGAATATGTGGTTTCCTTTCCTGAGGTAAACCAAGGTGTGTAGCACACACACTTCCAGCTGAATCTGGCTGCATCTCAACCATATGTAATTTCCTTCACCGGAAACGCGCCCACACATGGGGTATTCGATCCCCGGTGGAACGAACACTCTCCCCTTGCTCACCGGATCTTGTTACTTTTATGGTTTCCATCGTTTTTTCTGCATTAACCTTGTTAAGGTGAACGTGTTCTTAATGGTTAAATTTAAGAGAGAACAGATGGTAAATTATGAGATCTTGCCGTGAAATATGAGAAACAGTATGGCAGACGTGGTCGTGTACCATCGAAACATAAAAAAGTTAGCGGGGATTTCCAAATTTACTGTTTTATCAAACTGTACTCTGTAACAAATGCACACTTGCAGCGCTATTTTTCTTAATTATAGTGTGCTTGTGTTTGTAAGACTAATAAACTACTCTTGGATAGAGTGGTAAAACGTAGATATTAGGTCCAATTTCGTGTGTCTTAACTAAACGTCAAATTTTAGAATAACAAAGTAGGAATCTTCCTAATTAAGCATACATTTTTACTTTTCGAGTCATCAGTTCGCTGGGAAAATACTGAAATAAAAGGATTTTAGTAGATGAACTTTCCTTTCACTTGGGGCGTCACAGACCGTAAAATGTGAACGTGCAGAGTTCCCGTTTCCGTTACCAGCTGTCAGTCTTTCGTCCTTCATATACATAGATAAATTCATCTACATTCTTCTTAATTTTTTTTTTCAAACTAAGTACATACTTAATTACAAAAAGTAACCTCTGGGTGTGGTCCTTTTTGTGTTTGTATACAACCTGTAACACATTAATTAATAATCGTTGCAGTTCTGACATCAGATTTCGCTGTTGGTTAATACTCGGTTGTTATTTTGTATCTCCGATCATGGCGGGAACTGCTATCTGAAAGGGCACCTGTTGGGGGCTTGTTCTTTCATCTGAGAGGTAAGTACAACGAACTTCCGCACCTGGAAAGGAAATCACGTCGGGCATAACCACCGAAATTCAGGCAAGTGCATCGACACCTGCATTTAGATAACCGCGTTTCGCTTCATTTTACACGGAGCGATAAAGAGAAGTTTTTGGAAAAATAAACACACAACAAAATTTCGCGGTTTGTGGTTGTAGTTCTGTGTAAACAGATAAAGCAACATGCGTCCAATCACTTGTTTGTAGGTTGAACTATTGTATTATAATACAAAATAACAATAATGTATTGAAACAGTCATTGAACCATTCCGGCTGATTGTACTTGTTCTGAGAATCTTATAATTTTAAGTTAGATAACAATATCAATATCGCGAGAACAAACATAATAAATCAATAAAACAAGTTTATTTTAGATTTAATAAAAAGGGTAATCGGTTAGAGATAGTGAAAACAAAATAAATTATACCTACGTAGAAGAATTATTATTCTTGAAAGTACTAAAAAGTGTTCAATAAAAAGTTCTTCCTAAACAAGTCAACTCTACGACTAGTCCCAAAATTAATCATATAAATATTGTGATAGGGTCCATTTGACGAAAGATTAAAGTCATATTTTCTTGATGTTTTGTAGCATATGAAAAAGTACGTCTCCTGGTTCCGTATGTTTGTCTGTTGTCGATTTTATTAGACAAGTACCTACGCATATGTGTACCACGATATGCTTTTATACCTGTCATTTAATTTAGTGTTATTTTTAACTTTGTGTATATAGATTTTTGGAAAAAAACAATGTTTTATAATATATCTTAGAAACTATAAAACCTATTAAAACTTTGTTCAAGCTTTAAGGTTATCTTGAGCATGATAATTCCCTAATCAGGGATTTATATCTTAATTTATAAAATAACATATTCTTTATCTATGGTCTATGAATCCGCCTTGAGGTTTTCTCCGAGGCATCTAGATTTTCGCAAAAAACCCGAAATTATATAGGAAACTTTTATACTATACTCGTACAAGAAGAATATTCGACAGCTCATTGCTTACAAATTCTCGTACAGGCTCTTTTGTGTCTTACACTGTTATTGCTATGATCTATATTTTTACGACCCGGCTGTAAGCTAAGTAAGTATTGTATAGTTCCATCACTTGAACAGTATCTAATAAAATTTTATTAGTATTTCAAAGTTAACCATGAAGGTTGGACCCACAGTACCATAAATCACAAATTCAATGCAACTCTGGATGTTTCTAGCCCACTATACACTGGCGGCACGCTCCTTTTATTGGCGTCATTATCCCCCTGGATTGTCCGACAATCCCTCAAAGTAGCGGTTGTAAAATTTTACTAGGTACTGATGAAGTGTAGAAACTTTAATAGGGTTAAATGTTTTCTCATAGCCCATAGAGTACAAAAACTTGTGATTGTCAATATTGTGATAACCCAAACTTCCCGCTTTAAAATGGAGTCATGGATGGCAATACAATAGTAAGAGATATTTACAACTTAAAGTTGTTGTGTGCCGGTAATCTCCAGATGTTAGAAAGCAGAATAATCCAGGTTCGTTCAGGGACCATCGTTACTCACGAACGAAAATGGCCATTATTTTATGAGTACAACTACCTGCGAAATGTTCTCCTATAAATGCCGGTGAACTAGTGTGATCCTTAAATATTTCTTACGATTGTACTACTGTCCGTCTCGTTATTGTCAATAAAATTTTATAGGTTAGAATGAAATTTCCAAAACTGTACATGATGTTAAATTATGCCATTATCTAAGTGATTGGTTACTTAAAACGATTAGCTTTGAGAGTTTATATCGTGAACTGTCCCCAGCTTATCCCAAACAAAACACATAATAAATAAACACAAAATGCATCTAATTTCGCGAGAAATGCTTCTCGGTGATATAATTTCCAGCGTCGCGTGAAAATAGGTCTCGATGATGTGATGGTGATATGTTGATAACTGCTTAAGGGGAAAATTTAATTCCCCCGTACCTCAGTCCACGATATTATGAATTCTACCGCACTTTTACAGTCCTTTTCCTAGAGTGGGACAACGTTAGATTAATTTTAACTGCTGTAAATGAACTATTAACAATCTTGTGTGAGGAATTAAGACGTGTTAAAATGTAAGACTTAAGTATAAGCATCCAGAAACCTTATTTATAACTTGATAAACAAAGGATGAATCCCGACTAAGTGAATTTCATGAAGTCTCCTAGCAAGTGCTCTAATTGAACAATCTCATGACTGCTAGATTGTGTTAGAACGAGTTAACGATTAAAATCCTAACATGAACTGTGAATTTACAAACAATAGATCAAATTTACACCACGTGTTAGCGTCGGTCGAAAATTCGCATATTTCCGGTTGGAAAAACCGCAAGAATTACCTACGCATGTTGGGGAAACTGTGGCGTCGTCATCGATTCGATTAATTTTCGTTAAACAAAAACCAAACCAACTAAACTTAATCTAGCTTCTTTACCGCGTGCCTTTACTTACATCAAAACAAAACAACAGTGACGTGTCACCCCTTTACAAAGCAAGCACACTTCACTACCAACCCTCTCACTAGATACTATCCAGAAATTCCCTAGGAGAGCTACCAACTACCAAAATTGCACGTGGTTGCCTATGTGTAACAATTTTCGTAATTAATTTTTTTTTCAAATTCAAATTATTGAAATGCGATTTCGCGGCGTTGTTTGTTTTTCAGCGCGAAATTGTAATTCAAATTTAGTTACTACAATATACCTATTCATTGTTTTTATAATTACTTGTACAGGGTGACCCAAAAAAAATGAATGAGCTTCTTCATAGTTTATTGATCAACTCAAGATTTCACTTCATTTTCCTCAAAATTTTATAATTTTATACTAATTGTTATAATAAAACCTGAACAAGCTCGCTGCACTTGCAATCTACATATTCTCTTTTTATGCAGTTTTTTGCGGTAGCCTCATGGAAGTGATTAAGAAAGGATCTCAGAGAAGCTATCTAGGTGTTGAATAATAAGAAATCTCTAGAATTACAACTTAAAAAAACAAGCTTTTACAATGCGAGCGCAGCGAGCACATTCCAGTTGCTGGGGTCTCTCCGATTTCAGTACTCAAAAATTCACTTTTTTGGACACTAAAAATTCTATTATTAATCATAATTTAACTTCCCAGGGAGGGACACCAACCTATAATTTTGAGTAACACCTAAATGTGCTCGCTGCACTCGAATTCTGAATGTTCTTTTTTTAATTAATTTAATGTCATAAAAACATTTACAGCCAGCCTACTTAGTTTCGATTAAAATAATTCTCGAGACATCCCTGTCAAAGTACTTCCTTCGCTCTTGAAGTAGTATCCAACAAATTCCGCTTCTTTCAAAAATTATATATATATTTTTTGTTTTCTGATTTATCTATTAAAAACCATTGGTGTATGTGCAGACGTGCAGACTTACGGACAATATGAACTATAATAATCAAAGCAAATAATATTATCAGTGTATATGCTTTAACTTCGATTGTTTTTTGTTTAATTATAAATTAAGCCACAATGGAACAACATGTTTTGAATATGATTATTATTATTCTTATTTGATCATAATAATCAAATAAAGACGTGGGTATTCTCACATTTTCTAGAAAATGAGGTTCTTAATTTGATCAATAAAAAATTGGTTGAGGGTTATAAGTATAATCCGACAAATCCAGCTCTTAAAAAAATGATAAAATTTTATTTTACGATTTTCGTTTTGTGATAACCGCTGTAAAGTAAAAACCAGCGGCATAAATAACATCCCTTGTCCTTTAGTAGTAGGTAATAGGAATCTGAAGCTCAAGTATTTATTTATCTTTATACATCGAAAGAATGTCACGTAGAAGTTACTTTGATTTGAATCAGTTCTTTTCTCAAAGCAAGACTAAAATTATTAATTAAGCCACAATCGAACAAAACGTTCTCAATATTATATCATCAACATGGATAATTCGAGTCACAGCATAAAAGAAAAGTAATCACACCGTATTACTAAGGCAAGAAAAAAAAAGTAAAAAGCCAAATCCAATTTGTTTTTGCGAAAAACGGATTCGTATATTACAAATATAGGAGTATATTTTTGCATAACATTCAAATCATTTTAAAATACAGTCCATTGAAATGACATCATCAAATTGTTGGTGGGGATGATTAGCCAAATTTTAGTTACCATTTAACCATCTATATGATATTTCTAATATACATTCAAAATTTGACAACAATCGGTCCAGGAGTTTCGGAGATTACATGTCGAATAAAAATGGATACAAACAGATCGACAGAGAGACAGACGGGAGACTATTTTTTTCGTACTGTAAGGGTCATGAAACGTCGAGGAAACATAAAAGTGGCCATTCATCCGATGGACTCGATTACAATCAACTTCGAGAGTCCAAGCTCAGTGAGTACATTTAAATTGGTGGTGTCCCATTTTATATATTATTAGTTTTTTTTTGAAATAAGGAATCAGTTAACGTTATTGATCAATTTTTTTATCTATAAAAATTGTCATTAACGAAATTTTACCTACACGCATCAGGTCACCGCTCTGAGTGTGAGCGAAGTACTGAATAAATTCTTCAAATCGATTTTTTTATTGATCAATTCAAGAACAGTACATCACATTCTTTTATTATGAGTATTTCAGTGCACGTGTTGGAATTGATATACGTGTTCTTGTTGGAAAACTCACTAGAAAGACAGGCATAGTCTTGCGCCCAACTTATTAATTTATATTTTTAAAGTAATTGTTAATCCGTTTCCTGTCAAGGGAGGAGAAGTGCACTCCGCACCAGGCCGCATAATTAACAAGTTATGAGATTGTGTTTTCGTAATATAATGCATTCGAATCAAAAGTAGTGGCGAAGTATGGGTAATTAAAATATGATAGATACATTAATGAATTCAGAAAAACAACTTGTACAAGAATCTCTAAAAAAATATATGTAGGGTGTCAAAACACATTTATAGATCGTCCAAAAATAAATTGGTTGTCATTTAGTTTCTTCCATTGTTACTATTATTATCTACATATTTTTAATGCATAGAAGTTATCACAAAAAAAAATATCCAAATTAAATTTACAGGCAGTGTGCATAAAAAAAGTCATCCGGTCCTCGATCCACACGAAATTTTCGCAACTCTATGTGTGCAATTTTTCAATTCGTTCTCCATCACAAACAAAAACGTGAATTTCACTCC